TTACGGTGTAAAATACAACATTTTTGGACTTATTTTAAATTACCGTGTAAATTAACTTTTCGGACTTTGTGTAAATTGTTGTCAAAACTTTTCTTATATTTCGGCAAATGTGATAAATTATATAAATTCCGCACAGCCTTAATCCCACCTGAGGCATCGTCAGGGATTGGACAGTTAATTCCTTAATTGACATCTGTTTATATTTATTGACACTTAATCTTTCATCTTTAATTCTATTATATACATACTGCTAAAATGTCACCATTCGCTCAATAATTGTTTGATACTTGATTTCTATATACCCTTTGTTAATCCTTTTATTTTACTCTGTCTTTGTTCAGTATGTATGTTTTGTTGTGAAAAATTATAGTCAGTTGGAATCAGACCTTCGGTGCTGATACATCCCAAACTCATGTAAAAGTATATTCCTTGCTGATTCTATATAAAAGTACAAAATTAGTAACTCGTGTTTGTGTCTTGAGGTTTTAAAGAATCTGGGTTCAACAATAAGAGGAAAGCTCACTGTTGAACCAGAATTAGTATTGACGAACAAATCATCCCGTAAAATATGACATACACAACATTATTCTTATCATGAACAATTATGTTGTATCTACTTATTAATGATGGAACTATTTTCGTCGGAACAATTTGTGTGAGTCGCCGCTGACTACAGTAATATATCTTGCACTAATAGTATGCACTGATCGAATATATTAAAAATTGTGCAAAATTTTGTATGGAATTATATAGAAGGCAAAATAAAATCTCAAATCTAAGCACCAAGGAAAACCTACGATTTCTTTATATTTCAGGGATTTATTATTTATATCAATACAAATCAAAATCAGTCAAAAAATATATATCAACCCGCGCATCCATTTTTTGTTTGTGGTAAGTACCCTTAAAATATCAAGATGTACACCAGGTCACGTGATTCTCACGTCAGTGTTAGCTTGATGACGCGACCTCTAAATATAGAATTTTAGATTCATTTAAAACCTTTCTCAGTACATCTTCGCTAGCCAAGGGTTTCTGATACGCTACTCTCCTCACAAACCCTTGGCCTACGGTGTTCATAGAAATCGGGATTTTTTTCCAGAGTTCTGATTGGATTTTAGTACACCCAGGTCGACCAATCAGCAATTGTTTTTTGTAAATGACGATATTTGCGTTCGGGATACATCTTCATTCTTTAATCTCGGAAATGAAAAACGCAAGTAAACAACGATCCGTAAGATAACATTCAATTCTATGAATAGCCATGGTGTCATCCAATATATCTTCTAAATATGTGATTAAGAATCTATATTGAAGCTTTAGATTTGTTCTATAAATAATGAATAAACATAACTCAATTATATATATATTGCTTCTTAATTATTCTTGAAAAAACTTTGATTTAATTTCTTTAAACACGTGTCTTTATTTCTGGCGATGACGCAATCTGTGCGTACCTGATAGATTCGAGATCACGTGACGGAAAACAATCCCGTCTTTTGACTTCACCGTATGCCAAGGGTTTATGACGAGAGGAGCGTATCAGAAACCCTTGGCTAGCGAAGATGTTCTCAGTAAAGATTAATCACTGCCGAGTGTAATTATAATGTTTTGTTTTCAGGTCACTGAAAATCAGACTGAAGTCTACAAACATCTGAGGGACAATGACTGGCGTTCTAAATAATGTAAAAAATGTAACAATAATGTAATAAAATTTATGGAAAAAATATCTAGTAATATTGTTGTAATTTATCTTCTGTTGAGGGCGACAAACAGCAGGAGCAAAAATACTTTTATATGGATTATTGAGTTGCGTTGAAGACGTATTTACAGTGTGTCCTTTGATTGACAGAAAAATAAAATCTCTGATGAACTGTAGCAAAAAAGTGTATTGAATACCAGTCAGGGACAACTGTGTACTAAAAATACAAGGCACCGCACACAAACGAATTAGATTGATTGATTTTATGTTGTTTAACGTCCCTCTCGAGAATTTTTCACTCATATGGAGACGCCACCACTTGCTGGTGGAGAGCTACAAGTTTTGTCCTATGCTCGGCACTTACTTCGCGACTCTAGAGTGAATTGGAATTGGATTTAATATGCATGGCTGGTACATGTACATGTATCTTTTGAATGCATCACTTTGTAAATCAAGCTTACAAAATTGATTTTGATACTTACCTGCAAGAAAGAAATTTCCCCCCAATATTTTATATTTATTTCTTCGCCAGTGTCAGTTATTTTTTACTCAAAATCACGAAAATTATATTTAGGGAATGAAAAAAAACTTGTAGACTTAGTAAGTATATTCTTTTTTGACTTTAATTTACAAATCAACCATAGCTAATAGTATGACCAGACACGTGCATTTTTATTCCGTTCGACACAAATGTACAGTTGTATATTAAAAATTTGGCGTTATAATTTCACCATCATGCCTTTCGTTACACCATCATGGGATGACCAAAAAATAAGAAGACATTTTCGTCACATTCTTTGTTTATAAAGACAGGGGTTACAAATTAAAGTTCTAAACAATATATTTATTAAAATCTCTAATTCCAGTAAAGTTATATCTTAGAATTTGCGAATTAAAAAAGATTTTTAAAAAATTAGATAAAATTAAAACAAGACGCCCAAGGTCCAGATTGCTCATTTGAGCACTGTGGAAAAAAGATAAAAATCTGTTTAGCTTTGAAAGGCTTTTTGCACAAGTAGTCCCGTTCGACCTACCCCTAAAAGATTTTTCCTACACACTTCTTTGTAAAACTTTGATCGTCCAGTGTCACCCCACCTGCTCCTGGGGTCATGATTTGAACAAACTTGAATCTACACCATCTGAGAATGCTTCCCTACAAATGTGACCAATTATAGCTTTACTGTTCTTGATTGATTTATTGACTGTATACTGTTTAACGTCCCGCTCCAGAATATCTCACTGATATGGAGACGTCACCATTGCCGGTGAAGGGCTGCAAATTTAGGCCTATGCTCGGCACTTACGGCCTTTGAGCAGGGAGGGATCTTTATCGTGCCACACCTGCTGTGATACGGGGCCTCGGTTTATACGGTCTCACCCGAAGGACCGCCCCATTTAGTCGCCTTTTACGACAAGCAAGGGAGTACTGAGGACCTATTCTAACCCGGATCCCTACTTTTCTTGAGAAGATTTAGATTTTGAATATTTTTTCAAAATATTTATTACCATTTTTTTCTCTTATGTAAAACTTGGATCGTCCATTGTGACTGCCACCATACCTACGGGAGTCATGATTTGAACAAACTTGAATCCACACCACCTGAGAATACTTTCATATTTACATTGTAAATATGACCAAACATAGATTTACTTTTCTTGAGAAGATTTAGATTTTTAAAAGATTTTTCTTATATATCCCCATGTAAAACTTTAATCGTCCATTTTGGCCCAGACCCTACCCTTGGAAGGTCTTGATTTGAACAAACTTGAATCTACACTTTCTGACATTGGTTCCACGTGAGTTTTTCCTGGCCCCTTGGTTTTTGAGATTTTTCAATAGTGCCATTGATTTTTTTCGCTATTTCGTAATTATCTCCCCTTGAAGGAAGGTGTGGACCTTCATTTGAACAAACTTGAATCCCCTTCACCTTTGAAAGGATGTTCTGTGCCAAGTTTGGGTGAAATTAGCCCCTTGGTTTTTGAGAAGATTTTTCAATAGTGCCATTGATTTTTTTCGCTATTTCGTAATTATCTACCCTTGGAGGAAGGTGTGGACCTTCATTTGAACAAACTTGAATCCCCTTCACCTTTGAAAAGATGTTTTGTGCCAAGTTTGGGTGAAATTAGCCCAGTAGTTCTGGATAAGTAGATACGATTGTGATAAGTTTTGATCAGAAAAGTTCACTTGAGTCTTCTGCTCAACTGAACGAAAAATTAATCATGGCTTTATTGTTATTTTACAAGTATTCTTAAGTCCTCTCAATCGAAGATCCAGATGTATATAGTTTTTGGCCTGTTCGCCATCCTCTCTGTCTGTTTGTCCGCAAGAACTTGAACCTTGCTCATAATTTTTGATCGAGTGGGTCACGCTGTGGCTTTCAAATTTTACAGGTGTATTCCATGTGACAAGATCTTTCTTTGGGAACGAATAACTTCTGATCTTGACCTTTGGAGTTTGACATGCATTTGAGAAAATTCAACCCTCGCCATAAGCTGCCTTTCGGGTGCATCAGTGTTTCACAATTACAGCTGTACTTTTTAAGATAGATTTTTCCTATACATTTCTATATAAAACTTTGATTTTCCCATGTGCCCCCATCCAAGCGGTCATAATATGAAAAAAAAATTAGAATCTACACTTTTCTAGGATGCAACCACGGCGCTGCGCTCGCTATCAAGATGGTAAATCCTTATTCAAAAATTCAATGACAATAAAACTCATGAAAAATGGTAATAAATTTGTTTCAGCAGTATTTATTGACGTAATAAAGTACAAAGTCAACAAATAATGTAAAAATTATATAACTGTATCTGGTCTTGATTTCTAAACTATATATGACCACTTTCAGTATTAACTACAGAATCAAAACATAACATATTCAGAAAACATTATCCATTGAATTCATGTAAGTGTGACCAGAAACTAAATAAAATAAAATTCTACTATAAATAGTCTTACACATTGTAACAATTAGGATCTTTAACACAACCACGTGCATGTTGACTGCTTTTGAATTGCTTTATACATGTTATGTAAAGTGTTGCAGTAAAAATATTAGGATTTGTTAATTTATTCTGAAGACATCAATGATACTAAAATTATCAGTACCACAAATAAACATTTATATATAAATGTTTAAAAAAAAACTCTAATAAAACATATAAAAAGTAAAATATTTTTTACAAACATTAATAAAATAAGCAATAGTCTACTTGAATAAAATATGGTATAAAGACACAAAAATATTTGGCAGTTTGCAATATAATTTCCCTTGATGATCATTCATGTACAACAAAGAAATGTTTGAAGAATTTACACTATAGTTTGATGTCCTTTTCAAATGCAGTATTTCACCAGGATTTTTAAATGCAGCCCTTTTCACACATTTTGAAAAGAATTTTACCTTGAAATCTTAAAGGTGGTTGGGAAAATTTAGTTAATTGGGGGGGGGGGATGACCATTTTACCCAAAGGATACTACCTCTTTAGGTAATGAAAAGCACTGAACTTATGAAGACTTTGTCTACTTCACTTCATGGCAATATTGATGTACTTTTACTCCCTCTCACTGTTTACTCTAGCTGCAGATCTGTAGCTCTCCGAAAAAAAATATTGACAGACCGGAGAGCTACAGAGCCACCCATTGAAAAAACTGTATATTTATTGCGCACAAAAAAATGCGCTCGGTTCTCGATTTATTTCTTCATGTTTTTAAACCTGTAATCTCAAAATATTACTAGCCGTGTGTTCCTAACATATTCTTTGACTGTTTCCACAACAAAACATTCCTCATAATTGTTGTTAATAGTCCTCCTGGTCCTGATTTTGCAATCATCGAACATTTTGCTTATTTATACTGCCATTTTGGATTCAAAGATAATTCGGTCCAATATGCTTCGTTCAAATGTCAACTACGAGAGAACTTGATAGAGGAGAGAGGAAATTTTTGAAATCTTCCATTTTTTGCAGTTGAGGTAAGAATTTGGAAGAATTAATCAAGAATCGAGCGCACTTTTTTGTGCGCAATAAATATACAGTTTTTTCAATGGGTGGCACTGTAGCTCTCCGGTCTATCAATAATTTTTTTCGGAGAGCTACAGATCTGCAGCTATGTTTACTCCAACAAAAAATATCATTAAACATTTCATACAACAAAATTAACATGAAATTAAATAAAAATTTCATATTAACACTGTCCTTTGGCTTTTTATTAACTATATAAAGAGTACAAAATGGCATGATAGCATTTGGCAGATAAAATAATAGTATATGCATAATTTAAATAGTATATGCATAATTTAAATATGAACATTTCTTTACTCTAAACAAAATGGCAATATTCAAACTAATAATAGTGGAAAGCATTAACAGAACTGGAATTTTTTATCCCAGGCTCTCCTCTAATGTGGTGTCCAGTACAGGTAAAAAATAGAGACTGACCAGCTACATGTATCACTACTGTCTTTGGTAAATATCGAGGCTATTTGTTGTCCTTCTGGTGGCTTTTTAATCCAGTTTTATATATCAATATTTAGATTTATCTCTCATGTTGCAGAATAACATTATACAAGCTGCCATCATCAGTATCTGTAATAGATTTTTTCAGTTCAATTTAACAAAATAAGAAAGAACAAAGGAGTAGGGGGGGGGGGGGGGGGGGGGGGTTGCAGGGTTGAGGTCAGGTTAACATTAATTCAGTTTATTGAATCATAAATTATCTAATTAGACAATCAAATCAAAAGGGATGCATATATACCTGAACAACTGCCACACATAAACCAGCTATCCCAATGTACTGCATTTTCTTGGAAAACAAATATTCTATTTCATCCATACAACCCTGAAAAAAAATTAGGAATATCACACTGTTAAACATATTAACTCGTAATTTCATATAAAATTCTCTATAATACTCTATAAATCAACTCGAATTTAGTTTATCGGTGACTATTTTAGATGTTTTAAGATTTTTAATGTTATACCTGTGCACTGACATAGTCATGATTACATCAAATACACAAAATCTTTGAGACAGGGCAAACAATACTAGTCCACACACCTTTGTGTTCCATAGAAAGCTCTGGGACTGTTCACAGTCTGGTGCAGGGTCCACACAACAGGAGGGTCTGACCTGTTTACCCTGGTCTCCTATGTCATACCAGTCCGTGTAGTTATTCACACCACAACACTGGAGCTGTCAAAATTCAATCAGTACGTAACAAAAATATAGAATTTTACACCACCCCTCCCCTTCAAAAAAAAATCCAGCTTTGCTACATGTATTTTCAGTCGATTAAATATATATAAAATACATGGTTACTGTCTTGAAATATAAGCGATATTTGGGCGAGGGTAAGAAAACGTGATAGAGGGCGAGGCTTGCCGAGCCCTCTTACGTTTTCGACCCGAGCCCAAATATCGCTTATATTTCAAGACAGTTATCATGTATTTTGTTTATCCTGCAACAAAGTTTTACATTTGAACGTCCAAAACAAGCTATTTCCGACAGATTTAGGCACATCTCTGCAGTTGAAACTATGACGCCATGGCGTAAACATTGCAGTATACGTGACGTCACAATGCTTTTAGAACGTCGGAATACATGCACGAGGCTTTATTAGGGCAGTGACCGGATAAAGCTTTGGTTTATTAGGTTACCTTTATTAGGTCAATGCAAGGGGTAGTTGCAGGATAAATTCCTATATTTTATGTACTACTTGTATGTTATGAATGTTATGTACATAAAAATATGTAGGAGCATTTGAACTTTGGAATTTTTAATTTAAACACTGCAGAGCTCTCTAAAAAGATTTCCAAAGTCATGTGTACAACCTTAATATTGCAAAGTTTTAACACTTTCATCAAAGTTTTTGTCAATTTATTTCAATCTATCTGTTCAAAAAACTTCTTTCATATTTATGAAAATACTGTATACAGGGTTATTTTTGCCCTATCATTTTGCCCCGATTAAACTTCGCCCAGTCACTGTTTCTGTTTTGATATTATACTGTGTTCTTTGAATTGCCTCCAATTTAAATTTGCCCACCTGTGAGTAGTGCAGAAATAAAATGGGGGTGATAATTTCCATGTATACAGTATAAGCTTTAAACATTTGCTTAACAGTTACATTAACTAGACTTACATCTGTTTGTATGGTAACATCAATGAGCTGTAAGATTCCTTCCCTCTTTTAACAGTTACATTAACTAGACTTACATCTGTTTGTATGGTATCAATGAGCTGTAAGATTCCTTCCCTCTTTTCTGACTGGACTTGTGGATCAGAACTGTACTCTAAGCTGTATAACATTTCTTCTTTTATTGCTGTTTTGATCTGAATACAGAAGTAATAATTATGTTCAATACTGACAACATTTTTACATAAAGAACAAACAGCAGACAATTCAAATGAGAAATAAAAAAAATCTTTTAATACATATCTGCAAGAATTTATATATTCTTACAAAAATGTTCATGAATCATTATTTGTTTCTTCTAATAAACATATGCATAATTTTTTTTTACTTACATCCTTCTGATATGATAATATCAATGCTGTAGCTGCAACTTCTAGTCCAAATATAATCAGGACAAAAATGAAATACTGAAAATAAAATATATTAAAATCATTAAGCCTGTAAAGACTTGTATACACATGTTAGTATCTTCACTAGCATGAAAGGCCAAGGGTTTGTGAGGAGAATAGCAGATCAGAAACCTTAGCTAGCAAAGATGACATTTTAGAAAATCATGATATATCAAACAAGAGGCCCAGGGGCCACATCGCTCACCTGAGCAAATCGGCTTGGAAAAAGCACAAATCAGAGTAGAACTGAAAAGTTTACTGAAAGGGGGGAGGGGTGCTTGAATTTTAATACTACTTGAGAATGCCTTCATTTTAACACAGCATATGACTTTACTGTTCTTGATACCAAGATTTTTTAAAAACATTTTCTTCCTATATATAACTTCATAATAAATTGAATTTGATTCCCCATTGTTTCCCTCCTTACCCCAAAGGGCCATGATTTGAATAAATCTTCGATACATGAGGATGCTTACATGTCAATATGACTAAGCATAGCTTTTCTATTCTTGGGATTTTTCCCTTTTTTTATGTAAAACTTTGATCCACCATTGTGGCCCCACCCTACCCTTGGGGATTATGATTTGAACAAATTTAATTCTACACTACCTAAAAATGTTTGCATATAGATACTAGTATCACTAATCATGGCATTGCTATTCTTAAGAAGACGATTTCTGTAAATATATTTTAATGTAATACTTGGATCCCCCATTGTGGTCCCACCCAATCCCTGGGGGTTATGATTTGACCAAACTAGAATCTACTCTACCTGAGGATGTTTCCATATAAATATCACTAATCATGGCTTTGAAGTACTTGAGAAGACAATTTTAAAAGATTTCCCTATCTAGTCCTATGTAAAACTTTGATCAGCGATTTTGGCCCCACCCTACCCCCAGGGGTTTGATTTGAATAAATTTGAATCTACACTACCTGAGGATGATTTCACTTGAGTTTCATCTTTCCTGGCCCAGTGGTTCTTGAGAAGAAAATTTTTAAAGATTTTTCCTAGAAATTTCCTATCTAAAACTTTGATCGGCCATTGTGGCCCCACCCTACCCCTGGGGGTCATGATATGAACAAATTAGAATCTACACTACCTGAGGATGACTTCACATGAGTTTCATTTTTCCTGGCCCAGTGGTTCTTGAGAAGAAGATTTTTAAAGATTTTTCCTATATACTCCTATGTAAAACTTTGATCGGCCATTGTGGCCCCACCCTACCCCCGGGGGTCATGATTTGAATAAATTTGAATCTACACTACCTGAGGATGATTTCAAATGAGTTTCATTTTTCCTGGCCCAGTGGTTCTTGAGAAGAAGATTTTTAAAGATTTTTTCTATATACTCCTATGTAAAACTTTGATTGGCCATTGTGGCCCCACCCTACTCCCGGGGGTCATGATTTGAACAAACTTGAATCTACACTACCTGAGGATGATTTCACTTGAGTTTCATCTTTCCTGGCCCAGTGGTTCTTGAGAAGAAGATTTTTAAAGATTCTTCCTATATACTCCTATGTAAAACTTTGATTGGCCATTGTGGCCCTACCCTACCCCCGGGGGTCATGATTTGAAAAAACATGAATCAACACCACCTGAGGATGATTTCACATGAGTTTCATCTTTCCTGGCCCAGTGGTTCTTGAGAAGAAGATTTTTAAAGATTTTCCCTATATACTCCTATGTAAAGCTTTGATCGGCCATTGTGGCCCCACCCTACCCCAGGGGGCCATGATTTGAACAAACTTCAATATACACTAACTGAGGATGCTTCCATATGAGTTTCATCTTTTTTGGCCCAGTGGTTCTTGAGAAGAAGAATTTTTAAAAATGCCATTAATTTTTCACTAATTCATAATTATCTCCCCTTGGAAAAGGGCGTGGCCCTTCATTTGAACAAACTTGAACCCCCTTTACCTAAGTATACTTTGTGCCAAGTTTGGTTGAAATTGGCCCAGTGGTTCTTGAGAAGAAGATGAAAATGTGAAAAGTTTATGACGACGACGCCAGACAACGGACAAATTTTGATCAGAAAAGCTCACTTGAGCCTTCGGCTCAGGTGAGCTAATAAAGGGAAGTAATTCTTATTTACAAATCTAAACACAGCAAACACTTACAACCACCATCATGCATTTGTTCTCAACTAAAGCACCACAGCAGCCTACAAAGCCTATGACAAGAGTTATGGTTCCTGCTATTATCACTAAGGAAGCCGCGGTCAGGAAGCTGTGGCTGGGCAGAACCACTGAGAAGGAATCCCTGTTTGCCTGCATCCATATTCCTACTGCAAACACTCCACATCCAAGTACCTGTAGTGAATCAAAATAAAAACATATAGAAATTGAAATCAATTACAACTGTTTAAGACATACTGCACTTGAAATTCCTTTTTTAAAATTGAAATTTTCAATCTTAAAATACAATGTAATATGTAAAAAAAAATAAATCAATAAATAAGAGCAACAGTGATTTTAGTTTCTTAACTCTTTACAACTTACTGAACTGTTATGCAACATAAGCTTAATGTCCACGTCATAAAAGTAGATATTTACCACTTCCCCGCAAGCATCTTTTAGCGTGGTACACGTTTCTCTAAAGTTTAGCGTAAAAAATATTCTGACGTTATATCTTTATACAAAAACAACTTTTCTTATTTTATGAGATTTTTGCAAGTATAAAATAGAAGGAAATTGGTATTGAATTAAAGATTAAATGAACTTTTTAAAGTGCGTGAAAATGCGTGATTGCGGGGAAACGGTATATGCGTGATTTTGCGTTAGAAATAGGAAATGGTATATGCGTTAAAATGCGTGACTGCGGGGAAGGGGGTTAATCAACAAGTGTCCTGAATATTTTCATAATTTCAAATCATTTAATGAAAAAAAATATGTAATGCACTGTAGCAACCCCTAATGATACAATGCCGCTTAATGATAGAAATATCATTAAGCGTTGCAATTCAATGCTTAATGTCATAAATTATTGCATTAATAGTTGATTTTCTCAATCACTTAATGATATAATTCTTTCATTAAGTGGCGATTTAGCATTGGTGGTTGAGAATGTCAACCATTAATACAATAATTTATGATAGTAAACGTTGCATTGCAACGCTTAATGATATGTTTATCATTAAACAGCGTTGTATCATTAGAGGTTGCTACAATGCACTTAGTTCAAAAGAATATATATACATTCAATAATAAAATCATAAAAGCATACAAACCCATATTATGGCATTGAAAATGAGGAAGAGGTACTTTATGGTGCAAATTGCAGATCCTTTTCCAGACTGCCCCATGTTAAATGCTCAGCACTTCTCAAACGAACTCATTCACTTATGCACCTATAAAATCAAAGCTTTTTAATATTGAAAGATAATCTCTTGATTTAGCTAATGTCTCTCAAATTAGATATACAGCTTTAGTCTGCTTTAATCAAGCTATTCAAAAAAGCTTGATAAATCTGTTTCAATACAGATTTTTAGTTCCTTTTTCCTCAAAGAAATCAAAGCAACACCAGCTCTTTTGCTCAAAAGTATTCAAAACTGCTATGCAAGAACTAATTTTGATTTGAACTGCTTTTTTAAAAATCTTTTTTGATACTCCATAGTACATATACATGTATAAGTGGTCAAATATTTCTTCTTCTGATACAGTGCAGGGCATGCTGGGCATCATGGTACTTTGCAACATTTTTATACCCCCCGCTTGAAAAGCGGGAGGGTATATAGTGATCGGGATTTCCGTCCGTCTGTACGTTTTTCCGTCCGTCCGTCCGTCTGTCTGTCCGTCCGTCTGTTACGCTTTATCTCTTATCCGCAACTCCTCTTATACTACTATGTGAAATTTTATGAAACTTTCACAGAATCTTTATTACATATTGCCATTGTGCACCTCCTATTTTACTTTTTTATTCGACACGTATTTTAGGTTTCCCATTGCAAAACATGAACATTGCCATTATATATTTACCTATGACGTCACATTGGAAGCTTCTGGATAACATTTGATAGAACGAGTTATTCCTCTTTACACATTACCGTATAGACATTATGGGAGGCAGGGGGTATCATTTAGTGAGCTCATTGCTCACAGTACCTCTAGTTTTTCCTTTTCTTACCAAATAAAATTTGTGAAAAAATACATTTATCGATAAATAGCTTTAAGCTATTTTGGATAGTTAATACACCTACATACATTACAAGCTGCATAGCCAGGGACATAAATAAGTTATTTATGTCTCTGGTATAGTTAAATGAAGAGCACGTGCTTCATCTTTCACCAGGTCCAGTCCAAAGACTATTTATACCTACGTAGCTACTTATAGCTAGATTTTTAAACCTACCCAAAGAAGCTATTTTTACCTATGTTTTCCTTTACTTACATTTTGTGGCCAAATGCAGGAACAGCATAAAATCTGTGAATACAGTCAAACTGATGATGAATAGTTACACGTCAAAATTTAGACCAAAAAATGATTAGTTTGTAAATTATTGATTTTGCATAGTAATTTATGCAAAATTATCAATTTACCATGTAATCATTATTTTTAGCCAAGGTTTGGTCGTATTTATCATCTGTCTGACTGTATCAAGAAATTTGGTGCTCTTCATATTGCGCTGTTCCTGCAGATAAGACATCTTATAAGATACATTTACTTCCGGTTGAGGGTTATAGATGCAGGATAAAACCAGAGACTTCTGAGTATTCATTCAGAGGTCTCTGGTTTTATCCTACATATATAACTCTAACTGGAAGTAAATGTGTCTTAGTTAAAACTTAATAAAAGATGGCTTACTTTGTATCGACGTAATTTTTGAGGAATAAATGAGTGGTTTATAATAAAGAAGTTCAACCATAGACTTCTGAAACAATTCAATTGACAAGAATAGAATCTTTGAAGCGAACGATGCAGTCTTCGCGAAAAAGAAAAATTGCCCCAGGACATTCGGACAGACAGTTAACACAATTTCACAGGACCAATCAAATTTTCACCGGTCCAAAACGTTTATCATATAATGATAATAATGATGTTACTTCATAGCATTGAATCAATAAACAGATAACACATTAAAAGATTAATTGAAATGTTTCTTTTTCTCCCCTGATACTGCCCTATCAAAATATTTTAGAGACATTGTTGCGGAAGTAGGTTTTAAACATGTTAAAACAATCACAATCAACAAAACGTTTTTAATAATGTGTTTTGCCAGTGATTGGGAAGGGCTTGCGCCACGCGCCATAGTCACATTGAAGTGAAAAATGGCGCATTAAATCAATCAATCATGGCGCCAAGGTGCGCATTCAATTTTTAGCGATGTTCTTTGGAAATATTTTGTGTACAACTTTCTTTCTTGTTTTACTTTCGTTTTAAATGCAGTCAATTTAAAACAACAAATCTCACTGGTTGAAACCTGTCAAAAAGTACTTCCGGTAAAACGAAGCACTTACATGAAGTACAATACTTCATTTATTTGTATGGTAGGGCTGTTCCCTTTCCAAAACTGTCGTAATTTTAACACAACAGTTATATTCTAACAAAGTTCCTTAAAGTTTACTGCATTTCATGCGTTAAAAATCGGATTCGGTCAATTAAAAAAGTGTTTTCTCTCATATTTCATATTTGTTTGTCACTTTGTTATCTCTAAAAATGGCCCTTCAGATTATATTGATGGCCCATTCATTTTCGAAATGGCCCATCAAAAATGTTGACAGTTGTGCCATAGTCCCATTGACCATTTTGGCCTTCCCGATCACTGTTTTGGTATTAGTTAAAGTGTCTATATGATGAAATAGGAAATATATAATTTAAAACCCAACCAAAACAAACCTCAGACATACCAATTTTACTATTACTAGTTAGTGCATCGGACCAATAAGATTTTAACCTGTTTTGTCCGACGGACCGGTGCTTTTGGGATACACTTAACGATGTCATTTTAAAGTAGGTTAATGATTAATGTATCAACAAAATACGAAATTGAAGCGGGGGTGCCTGAAATTGAGTTAGGTACCTTGTGGTAAAAATAAGTAAGGGTGTCCCGTATACAAAATAAAAGCCTGTGGTTTGGCCACAAATTGTAAGTAAAGCAAAAAGTCACAGGTACTTGGGTCTGGTTTATAAATATGTATGTACCTTATTGATATGTCCTTTTTTTAACATATAAATAAGGTACATACATATTTATAAACCAAGACCCAAGCAGGTCTAGGAAAATCACTATATTTAGCTATATAGCTAAATCTACCTATATAACTTTATTTACCTTTATAATATAGCTTTATTTAGCTATTTCAGAGTAAATTTCTGTTCTATGAAAAGCAGACAGTGTAGGCGAAAGCCTGTCCACTTCTCTAAAGAGAATACAGGCTAGAGTAGTGCACCTGTGATGGATGGCGAAGATTTTCAATGTGAGTTATGACAAAGCATTGCATGAATCTTATAAGTGAACCTCTAGATTCCCTATCATATATTCTTTTATGATCTCAGACTTGAACAAAATAAAAGCAAAAGTCAGTAAAATGAGTAAACAGAAATGAACTTTTAGTAGTAGTACAAACCAAACTTTCCTTCGAGCTCGCCATTTTGTAGATTGTAATGTCCCAAACTGAGTCTGCTAACAAGATTTTTTTCCGGATTAAATGTGACAATGAAAAGCTGTGTGTAAGCTGACTATATAGTACAAAATTCCCGTTTAACAGAATTTTTCACTGATTTTATACGGCACCAAATTTAGTTTGTTCACTGTATGTTTAACTTACTCCTCAGAGCACCACTTTCTTAAAGGGGTCGCAGGTGCTTGGGGACCCCCCCCCCCCCCCCCCCCCCGCGTGTTCCGTAACAAAATTGTTCTTTGATTTTTTTTTTAAATAAAATATTTCTCTCTGACATATTCACAAAGTATTACAACTAAAAATCCGAAATCTAAGTTAAAACTGTCCTTTAATAAAAGATCATACTCTGATACTAAAACTATGGTGGCATTTTTCTGCCCCCCCCCCCCCCCACCCCCACCCCTACATGCAAGATATATCATATTAACATGCAGCATAATTCTGTAGACATGCAACATATTTATGTCAACATGCAAGTTAATCATGTTGACATGCAAGTTACCAATCATATAAGAAAATATAATTTAAATATGGGTACATTTACTTTCTAACGCCTGTATCTGACATTTTAGATGCAATATGTACGGAAGCGTAAATGGCTCTACACTTGTTGTGTTATAACTTTGTATATTATATTTTATCGTCATATCAACATATTAAATGTTATAATTCCATATTTATACACATATTTGAATTGTATGAAGATGTATTTACATAATTAAAGGCAACATTTTTCGTGTAATACATTTTATTGCTTTAAGTTTTATCGACTTAAATATCATATTAATTTTCAGATATCGATCGAAACAAGATATTCAATCATTACGAAAGCCCATTGAGTGCTTAATTTACTAGTGGTATAGTTGTAGTACGTGTTACGGATTAAAAAAAAACCGCTTGAAAAAAAGTGTCAAGTGGAGATTTTTCTTAAAAAATAATCAGTCTAAAGAATTTCTTGAATTTAACAATTAAAAAACATGTACAAGAAAAAAATCATTTTATTGATTTTTAGGTTTTAAAATAGAAAAAATATTCGATGACTAATTTATTCTATTCTCGCATCATTTCTCCAGTACATCTTCCGATGAAATGATATTTTATAAATAAGTTTCTGAGAGTTCCCGTCTGTGTTCATGTTCTTATCTATCAGTTAAGATCAAGGTTCCTGAGTAACATTATTATACATATTATTTCGCCAAATAACGCGAAAGTTTCGCGTTAAAACGCGAAAGTAACGCGTTTATTCGCGAAAGTTTCGCGCTATAACGCGAAAAATTTATTTTTTTAACCTACGAAAATGAGCTCAATGGGCTTTCGTAAATCATATCTATATAGTATTGTCGATATGAAAGAATAAATATATAGTTATATCGAAATAGATATATGAATATTTTCGAAGTCAGAAAATTAATAGTGTTTTTGAATTAACTACGCGGGGGAAGGAATTCTGATGAATCTTCACTTCACTCTGAATTCAGTGACAGGCACGTAGCACCAGGGGGCCAGTACCTTTACTATTGAAAATGTTCATTGAAAGGTTGGTTGCCTCCCCCCTACTTCTTACCACAGTAAAGTGATATCAAGGAAATGTAGCATGCCAAAAAAAATTGGAAGTTAAAAAAAGTTGGCATTGAAAAAATTTGCACCCCCCCCCCCCCCCAACCGAAATAGGATTTTCGATTTTGGGCATTTTCACTTTTTTTTGCTTGTCAACTTTTACAGGTAAGTAAGA